CGGCAAGTCAGAATAAATAATACATAATGAAACCCACTCACTCTTCCTTCCGTCCGGCCGAAGGACCCCTGCGCAGCATTGATTACTCCCACCAAGYGGAGGATCGACTGGCAGCTTGCCCAACCCCTCTCTTTCCTCTCMGACCTGGTATCYCGGTCTGTCAGATTGTCTCGCTGAACCTAGAAAGAGCCCTCAATTGACATGTTTCCCCTTCCCTCTTCATGCCGTCCGGCTGCAAAACCCTAAACCCTCGATTRTATTATACCTCTCCAAACTATGACTATGCTTCAAACCCCACCGGCCCTCCRCTMGCCTTGCTAAAAAACTGCAGATTACTCTCTGCATTTTCTGTCAAATCCTTAACCCCTAAACCCTAGCCCTGTTTCCTATTTAGGGTAAATTAATGTATCGTTATATAGACTTCCTTACTCTTATTCTTARAATTAATTTTATTGTCACGTTAGAATTCCTACTCAGCTGTTCCCTTCTCCCTCTCTTCTATTCTCATGCCCTTCTCGTCTTTCGCTGTCTCAGTCGTTCCTGACTTCMCCCCTCCACTTGAAGCTCAGTTGTGTGCCTCTGACCTGGGCGATGGCTCCTTGACCCAATACATTTTGTTTGAATTTTTTAATAATCTCCTCCTCTTGTCCCTGTTGCTGCCGTGCCTGCTGCTGGACTCTTTTCCATTGGGCGCTGATGTGAGTTTCTAGTAGYTTGAGTAGCAGCTCCTTGGTTTCTTGAAGGTGCATTACCGTCCCTTCCATCGTGGCTTGACATCTCCTTTTCCAGATGGTCCACAGACCGTATTGCCTCAGCAGTTGGAGCATGTGTTTCTGGAAAGGGAGCATTTGTTTAGGTATCCCCGTGCCTAGTAACTTGGTAGTCTTTGAAGTCGGGAAGGCAGTCTTCGCTACTAGGGTCCATATCCCTTTTACATGCTCCCATACTTCCCCTGCCCTTTTGCAGTCTAGGAGGCAGTGTACTATAGTTTCTGGAATTTCATCCTGGCATACCTTGCATAGTTCCCCCTCGGCACTTCTTTGTGTGTGGCTTCTCCTCTCATTGAGCCATGTGTTCACTGGTAGCGCYATGTGCGCTATTAGCCATTGCATACTCCTAACTTGGCCCATTCTTATTGATGATATGTTTTGCCAAGGGATTTCTGGCATCTGTCTTCTCGGTATCCCTACTCTTTTCTCCCAACGGTCCCTCAGGTCTAGCTTTGTTGAGGTAGATCTGAATCTCAGTCTGTATCCTATTTTTGTGGTGTAGTGAAGGATATTTATTCTTCTGGTGACTCTTGATATCTCTCCCCTTAGGTTCCAGGCCCATTCTCCCGGATCTACCTCTAGGTCTTCGATTGGGACCGCTGCGTTATACACTGTAAATTCCTCTGTTTCTATCACTCTTATCTTTCGCAATCCATGTTTAAGGATATGTAGAGACGCCTTGGAGGACTGTTCCAGCTGGGATGTAGTGTTACTAGGTTGTATTATTGTGTATTTGTCTGCTAAGAGCCAATCTTTCCTTTCTTTGTTCTCTTCCCAGACTCTAAAGACTTCCTTGGGTTCAGGCTCGTCGTCCCATGTTGCCCAGTCTCCCTCTCGCCATTTCTTTCCTTCTCTCAGCAACCGCCCCCAGTCTGGTGGTATGGCCCCTATGACTATTCTGAGGTTATCTTGAAGTCTGTGGCACCCCTTCAAGGTTCTTCTCAGTTCTTCGCTTGATTTCCACCTTTTGTTACTCTCGTCCCAAATATGTTTGACCTGCCAAGCCCCGTGTTGTAACCATCTGCCCCATCTCGAATCCCTAAACGAGAGCGTTAGTGGCTTTCCGTCAGYGTCCTTAATGCTAGCATTACAGAATAGTGGCTGTCTCAGCACCTCCTCCTTTATGGTGGGTTCTCTGACTTTTGCCGGGAAGACCTCTTTCCATAGCTGAATCAGCTGGGCCCAGTATGTTGGGATCTTGGATCTCCCTCCTTGTAACTCGTTAGCCTCCCTCCCCTGGGTCGATTTGGCCCAGTTGTTACACATGATCCAGAATTGCCCAGACATATTGCTTGGTGTTTTGTATTTGGCCATCTGTCTAATCCTTTCCAACACTAGTGTCGTCCAGGATAATCTGGGCTGGGAGATTAACTTTACCACCCATTTTGTTTGAAGTGCTTTTAGCTGTTGGCTTGGGTCTAGGATACCCAGACCCCCTTGTCCTTTGGGTCTGATTACTGTTTTCCATGCCACTTTGGATATGAAGTGTTCTGTATTATGCTTAGCCGTCCACAAGAAAGCTGCCGCTTTTTTCCTTAGTTGGGCTGTCGTGGTTGAGGGGGGTGACCAAATTGAGCCTGCGTACCACATCATGGAGAAGAYTGATGCGTTTAAAATAAGTGCTCTACCATATATTGACGTGTAAACAGATGACCAGGCCCCAAATTTAGTCATCACCTTGGCCATTATGTCTGTTGCCATCGAGTTGTGCGCTCCCTCTTCTGTGATCTTGATTCCTAAGTAGCGAAGCGGTTGTTGGGAAGTTAGCCACTGTAGTCCCTCGGGACTGTTGTCCGAGATCTGATTTTCCTGGTCCTGGTCGACTAACCACCACCCTACTGTTTTGCTCCAGTTCACTTTCATTTCTGATGCTAGTTGGAAAGCTTCCATTGCTCTCGTTAGAGCTTGGAATGATGAATCTGTAGCTCTTATTAAAACTGTTAGGTCGTCVGCAAATAGGATCGTCGTTGGGAGTTCCACTCTGTGACCCTGTAGATCTGGTGGAGCTATGAGTCTCTCTATTGATGGGTCTTTTCTTAAAAAGGAGGCTATTGCTTCCATTATGAAAAGAAAGATGGGGGCCGCTAGTGGATCTCCCTGTCTGACTGATCTAGACATCTTATAAGAAGAAGATACGTGACCATTAACCTGTACCTGACCCCTCGCGTCATTGTATAGGACTCTGATCCACTTTCTAAAATTTGGTCCCACCCCCATTTTCTCCATACATCTCTGTAAGAAGGACCAACTGACTTGGTCATATGCTTTTTCAAAATCGAAGAAGAGGATAGCCGCGTTGATTCTCCTGTCTCTTATGTAACGGACTGATTCTGTTAGGCACATGACGTTGTCTAGTATGAACCTCCCTGGGATGAAACCTGTCTGGTCAATGTGGAAGCATCCTGCCGTGATCTTGGATAGGCGGTTCGCTAGTGCTTTAGCTATTATCTTGTGCGTAAGGGTTAATAAAGTTATGGGTCTATAATTGCGTATGTCTGTTGGGTTACCCTTCTTGTAGAGTAGTGTGACTATTCCTGTAGCTGGGTCGCTTCCTATGCYCTCTTTCTGCCAAGCATTCTCTAGGAAGGCTAGATACTCTTCTCCTAGGATAGGCCAGAATTCTATCCAGAATTCTTTTGTTAGTCCATCTTTCCCTGGGGTTTTGTTTGGGGCCATTGTTTTTAATGCGTTCCGTAACTCTTCTTGTGATAMAGGTTCATCTAGCATGGCTGCGTGTGATCTTGAAATTGTGTTCTGTAGGTAGTTGAGGAACTTTATTTGTGCTTCTTCTACTCTTTGCTGGGGGAACTGATCTTCYGTGGATGTGTATAGTCTGCTGTAAAAGTCTACCGCTACTTTCATCATTCCTTCCTGATCCGATGTTGGTCCGTGTTCTCCTTCCAATTGGGCGATAGTATTATTTCTTCCTCTGTTTTTGATTTTTTGGAAGAAARATTTGGTCATTCTCTCCCCTTCCTCCCATTCTCTGACTCTGGCCCTCAATTGCAGGCCTTTTGYTTTCCAACGTTGCCAATCAGCCATCTCTCCCCTTGCCCTCTCCAGAACTCCTTCGTAGAGYTCTTCTCCCTGATTATTGATACTATTAAGCTCCGCTATCTCTATTGCTTTCTTTAGCTCCTCCTCTCTCTGCCTCCGCTTAGCTGCTAGCTTCCTTGCCACTATAGCTGAGGCCTTGGACATAGTCRCCAATAACTCCGGGAAAGATTGTGTATCTGGATTGTGTTCTTGACAGACYTGGAGAATGGCCTGTCTCATCTCTTGGGTTTTCAGGAGAGAGTTGTTAACTTTGTAGAAACCCTTGCCTCTAAGGACTTGCTTATCTGTTATTATCYCTAAGTGRATGGGCTTATGGTCTAATCCCARTTCGTAAGGGAGGTTGCCTATCCTTGCTTCATGTAGCATCCCTAGTAGACCTGTCGATACTAGGAAGTAATCTATTCTTGACGYCGATGTGTGTTGACTTCGATTTCTTTTACGGTATGTAAATTGTCTTTCATCTGGGTAGTAGATTCTAAAGGGATCCAGCAATTCTAGATTAGTCATTAGTCTATGGATTGGGGCTGATTCTTCTGACCACCCTTCCTCTTCCGCTCTTTGACTACCAGATAGTMTGTCTAWACTAGGATCCAAAGTAGCGTTCCAGTCCCCTGCTAAGATAAGATGCCTATCCGGTTCTAGGAGTAGTTTGATCTTCTCTAACATTTCCGATCTCTGTTGGGCTCCGTTCGGGCAATATACTGCGAGTAGTGTATAAGATTCCTCGTGCAGTTCRAAGTTGATYTTGACCCATCTTCCCTCTGTCTCATCTACCTTCGCTTCAGTGATGTGAATCTTATCCGACGTTGGTGACCGTTTGTTTTGTATGATTACTACCCCTGCAGAGTGATTACTTGTTGCCGGTGCCCACCATGARGYCTTTACTCTGTGCAKAATTCTTTCTAYTTTATTCCTCGTCTTCCGATGCTCTTCAGTGTCCTGTAAATGTGTTTCCTGTAAACACAAAAAWTMYGGTGGAGACGACGCATACCACTCTGAATAGTTGAGGACGTTTTGCCACTTGTCCCTGTTATCCAGAATMCCTACCATCCCATTCACATTCCATGATGTAATCTTAATCTCCGGTGCCGCTGTTCCCCCTTTTGGTCTCCTTGCTTTCTTTCTTGGTCTCTCYTCTGCTGTCTCCTCCATCCRGTTTCTGTGTTAACATGGTTCCTTACTCTCCCTTGTTTCTTGTTTAGGTGTTTGGTGCAGTAAGGTCTATCAACATTGCCACCTCGCTAACGTTCTTCTCGAAGAATTGTGGCAGCCAGGACAGGGCCTCCACCTTGACTGCCACTGCTGCGCATCTAGCTACCCATTCTGCTCCTCTTTCTCCTCCCAAGAGTCCATAGGGAATGGTCTCTACTACCTGCCACGGCATCCATACCAGACCCTCCCTAAGCTCTGCCTCTTCCTCCATCTGCCAGATCAAAGGGCTGAAATCAGGTGTAGACTCTGCCYCTCCCTCCTCTCCCAGTTCCATCCGYTCCCCATACCCTTCTTTCAGGAGGAATGTATGAGCTGGCAGGTTGCTACCTATCAGCCCTTGCAGTCCTGTGGCTGTGCATTCTTCCACCTGTGCTGTTAAAAGTTGCAGGGACTGATCGATTGCAACTTCCCAATCTGAGTGTCCTGCGTTCCAACGACATGGCAGTAACACCCTCCTTCCTTGCCCATTCCTGGCTTCCAATTTGGCTGCYGCTTCTATCTCCTTCCACTGACCTTTTGCAATCTTCTGAATGCTCACTGTGTCTTCCTGCAGTTCCCTGTTCTCATCTCTGAGTCTGTTAACTTGAGCTCCCAAAATCGCTGCTTGCCTTCTCAGGTCCTGAATCTCCTCCTCCTCCTTTTCCTCTTCTGYCTGAGCTTCCTCCATTGCTGTATCCTCTCCTACTTCCTTGTCTTTGTCTGTTGAGCTGATATGTTCCTCCTCTTTCCTCATCTTCCTTTTCCTGTTGCTGTTCTTGCCCTCCTTGCTGTGGTACGCCTTCGGCCATTGGAAGAGCTTGTCATACTCTTCTTGCTGTATGTGAATCTCATTCTTCGTTGTGCGGGCCTTGCAGGCATATTGGGCTGCATAAAATTCATTGATTTCTCCCTCTCTCTTCAGCAGCTCAAATTTGTTCTCTGTGGTAATGTCTGGACCTGCTTGAGTCACTTGTCTGAGATTCCTCAGGTGCTTGTGATGGGCCAGTCGGATTTCACATTCCACTGTCCTTCCCCACTCCAGCTGTTCCACTTCCCTTTGCCATTGTTCCCTTGTCCACATTTCTTCTTCAGTCTCCCCCTCTTCTTCCCTTGACTCYTCCTCTTCGTCCTCCTCTCCTGAAGATGTTTCCCCTCCTGTGTGGTCTGAGAAATCTTTCTGTTCCTCCTCAGCTTGTAGTATTTCCTCCACTGTCATGTTGTCCACATTTTGCATGCCTCTCTTCTTCGCTCTTTCCCTTATGCTGTCTTCCTCTTCCTRTCCCATCGGGTCTTGTGGTTTGTCCTCCTCCTCCTCGTGTGTAGAAGAAGCATCTRTTGCTGACTTGGGTTGTGAGGTCCCCTCCCTCTCTTCTCCCTCTGCTTTGGCTTCTTCGCTTGTTTCCTTCATTTCTTTGGARTCTGCTCCTTGTGAGATTGGTTCTGTTCCTTGTTCCTGCTTGTTCTCTGCTGATGTCTTGCTGCTGTCTGTGGATCCTTCTCCCTYGTGCTCTGTCATGCTCTCCTCCTTTTGCTTGCTCTTCTGTCTYCTTTTTCTCTGTACACTCCCTTCCTGCGAGCTGGCTCCCTCCTCTCCTCTGGTTCTTCCCTTCCTTTTGGTGAGTTGCTTTCCTCCTTCTTCTCTTCCTTCTCCCTCCTCTGTCTCCATATTGTCTCCTTGTCCTTCTGTCTCCTTCGATTTCTCATTCCTCTCCCTCACCTGTCTCCATTGCTGYTCCCTGGCTGCTGCGTTTTCCAAGAAGGCCAATTCTGCGTTTTTTCCAACTTCGTGCAGTTCTCCCATAAGCTTCAGTCTTTGTTCCACGTCCTGSATTACCGCCTCTTCCAACATGGGCTTGATTAGGAAGCCTGTGTCCTTGTCCTCTATGCGCTTGGCGCCAGTCTGTCTCCATCTGCTGTCGTATGGAGGGTAGATGTCTGGTTTGACTGATGGTTCCCCTTTCAGTWCCCAGACCCACTTCGGATTCTCCAAGTTGTCATCGAAGATCCAGCCTCTGTATTGTGCTGAATTTATGTACCAGACACCCGGTTTGTTTTMGCACTCCTGCATCATTGACTGTTTCAAGGTCAATCTCTTGCTCCCTGAWGCTCCTYGCCCCCCTTGTGGGCATGAGGTTCCCAAATGTCCCCTTCCCCTACACTTGAAGCAAAATGGGTTGGTCTTGGATGAAATAAACACTGTGATTCTCTGGCCGTTCTTCCTGAACATCCACAGATCAGGAAATTTCGGTGGCGAACCTGTTGATACCTCTAAGCATGCCACTCTTGCGTCGTGGTTTGGTGCCAGAAAATCTGGGTTCGCTGGGAGCCACTCGATGATTGGGTTGTTGGGATACTCRGTTTCGAGCCTCTTCTGCACGAAACTGTGCATTCCYTCTGACAGGTTGTCGAACTGAACCCAGAAGTGGTTTCTCAACATGGTCTGTCTGTGCCTTGACGCCTCAGCCTGCGGTGGCCTTGGTGGTTTCCAAGACTGAATCGTGACCACCGCCCTCTTGCATTTCAGTGCTCCAATGGATATCAGATATTGTGCGTATGTTGGATCCACACAGACTATCATAACTGTGTTTCTTCCCCGCCTGTGGTAAGAGACCTCCGGTTCCTTTCCTGGGACATTTTCCAGGGCGATTAACCTGTCCATCACCCATCGCCTCTTTTCATTCAATGATAGTTCCCTGCYGCGCCCCGAAAAGTTGAACAGGACTGCATGCTTTTCATACAGTTCATTCAGTGACTGAATGTCCTCCTCTGGGTATTCCCAGATTTCCACTTCCTCTTCCTTCCCTCCTTCCCCTTTAATCAACTCCTTTACCACGTTAACCTCCGCCTTGATCTGTGTTTTCTCCATCAGAAAGTCCATGGCTCTTTGTCCCAGTGTTYTTGGCTTGGCCCCTTCCATCCTTGAAGTTGTGCCTGAATCTGAGGATGTCTGTCCCACCTGACTCGCCGGTACTCCTGCCTGTCCCTTGGCAAAGTCACTTTTTTCCTTCGCCGTCATTCCCTTTTGGGCAGCCTGGGAATATGAAAGTGCCATTTTGACGAATTTTCTGGGCCGAGGTTGGTACCTGTCAAGTGAGGTTTGAATTATGGTCCGAGRAGCGTTGGTTGTGACTAGGTAGTTGAGGTGGAGTGCTGTGCTCTCTGGGTGTTGGAGGTGAGAGYCGATACTCGGCGCACGGTGGMAGAGTTGGACTGCAGTTCGTCGCSCCTCTTAGGATTCTTTWTCAAGTCTAGAGGGGTRGGACTTCTCAGTCAGTATGGAGATTGTAACTTTTGAWAGCGCCGATCTTTGATAAGGCTGAGGGAATTTTGGCAGTGCTTCGCCTCCCCACTTGGGGATCCGTTTTTGCTGCCAATAGAGAGGACTGTTACTTCTGCGTGAGCTACCGGATCGCTGCAGGTTGACTGCAATTAGCCTCCCTGTTTACTGRGAATAGGCATTACGGAGCTAGATCGAATTCGACAGCATTTAGCCTCCCCACTTGGGGATCGGCTTTGGATAACGAGCAGGACTCCGAACTGGAAAGATGGCCAAAGTTTGGCCTCCCCACCTGGGGAAAGGYTTATGATATCACGCTAGGATATGGCCACTTCTGTTCACGAAACCAAACTGGAAAAATTGAGCAGCATTTGGCCTCSCCTCCTGGGGATCGGCTTTTGATATCCAGAAACGATGGAATAGTTACGTGAAGAATCGGGACAAGCGAGAATTGGACGGCATTTACCCTCCCCTCCTGGGGAGCGGTTTTTGAAAACAGCCAAGAAGAACGACAAACCGAGATCCGTATGAAATTCAGAGATGAAAAAAACAGGCAGCATTTGGCCTCCCCCCCTGGGGATCGGCCTTTGATATCCAGAAACGATGGAGATAGTTGCGTGAAGAATCAGAACAGGCGAGAATTGGACAGCATTTACCCTCCCCTCCTGGGGAGCGGTTTTTGAAAACAGCCAATAAGAACGCCAAACAGAGATCCGTATGAAATTCAGTGATGGAAAAATTCGGGCAGCATTTGGCCTCCCCTCCTGGGGATCRGSTTTTGATATCCAGAAACGATGGGAATGGTTACGTGAAGAATCGGAACAAGCGAAAATTGGGCAGCATTTACCCTCCCCACCTGGGGAGCGGTTTTTGAAAAYAGCCAAGRAGAACCTATTTATGTGCTATCCCCGTCTGGAAAAGGAAAGTAATTGGCTTCCCCTCCTGGGGATCGACTTTTTAAATGCGACAAAAGGAGATCCGTACAAAATTCAGCGATGGAAAAATCGGGCAGCATTTGGCCTCCCCWCCTGGGGAGCGGTTTTTAGGAAAAGACTGACGGAAAGAATTACTAGTTCTTAGCGCTGTGAGTCWGGACCTGGTTCGGGCAGCGCGTATGACTTTATTATAGATAGCGATGGACTTAGTGTTAGAATTAGTCGAGGTGAGGAGGATGAGGTATGATTTAGGGACTGGTGTGTGGGGAAGGTGAGGCGTAGTAGGATGGGATTCGGGTGTACGTTTGATAGAGGGGTGGGGGAAAAKACCAGTCGGGTGCGAGATTGGGGTCGAGTCGAGGAGGGATTCACTGCCGATRGGGTGTCTGGTCGTAGGTAATTGATAAATGTAAGTTTATATGTGTATGATCAGGAAAAGGTGGGAAACGAGTTGGGATTGGTCGCAAGGATCGGGGTTGAGGGATGGGAAMTTTGGGGATTAGGATCTCGGGTAGGGACTGAGCTCGGGGTTATGCGTGTAGGGCGATCTGGTTTGGGATCGGGGGGGTGTCAGGGCGTATATGTCGGGGTCTTTGTTGGTTGAATGAGCGGAAAGAACAGGGTCGGGGGTGAGTGGTGGTCGATATCGTGGAAAGGAGCGGGAGGGAATCGGGATCGGGGAAGAAGTTGGGAGTTTTAAGCGGAGWGGGTTTGAATGAAGGCGGATCGGGGAGTAGTTGAGATTCAGACGGGTTACTTTGTGAGCGGGGTCRGGGTTGGRAGTGCGTGRTATTGTCGACGGGTTTGGTGTGAGTTGGGGTCAGGTTGGGATTCAGACTGGGTTGGGGTSGGGGGGCGAGACGGGTATTTGTGAGTGGAAGGGGGTCTGGATCAGTCGTGGGGTCGCGGTCGGGTAGGGTTGTGTCAGGCTTCGGGAGAGTGCGAGAATGTGAGATCGTAGTTAGTGTTGTYTGGGTCCAGCTCAGCGCGAAGGTTGAGGTTGTTGGGGTGGGTATAGGGAGAGCGAGTGTGGGTAGGGTGGTARACTAATGGAAGGGCTTACKGGGTCCTCTTTCCTGGTTTAGCTGCGCATCCGAGTACGTGATCCGTCCTGTTTGGAATCTGCATTCCTGATAGTGTCTTTGCCGCGCGGTCCGACGTCTCGTTTTTTCCYCGCGGTGGTCGTTTCCTCTTCGCTCCTCTGTCTCCCGCCTTTCRCTACCTTCTCTTTTTTCTTTCCCTCGTCTTTTCCCAAAGATAGATAGAGGATTTAAAACTTCCCTTCGCGTCTTCTCCCTCTGCCTCGTCTTTTCCTTTCTTTACTATTGTTAGTTATTCCTCTTCTTCTCTTTTTCCAAGTCCGTCTTGTCCGCCTGGCCCTTCTCTCTTCACTTCCCCTCTCTCTTGTCTCTTACTCGGTAGTGGATTGCCACGCCCGAAGGCGTGGCGAGTGTAGGTGTGTTGTCGCGATCCTCTTCCGAGCGTTCCTTTTCCTCACACAATTATGGTGTTCACCATGGCGCGTTGATTCGCGCGGGAGGCGATTCGCGCGACGCGAATTCGAAAATTAGCGCGAAACATCGAAGCGTTGCGCTACCCGAGCGGCGCTAGCGCCCGCGTCCTAGCATCTAGCATCAGTCCGGTTCCTATTCCCCCGGGAAGTCAGAAAAATACAGCAGATACTCGTGCACGCTCCTCCCCCTTCTGGTGTGGGAAGAATGTACCATTCTTCACCCCTGCTTGAGTTAGCCTGTTTTGTCATGCTGTTGTACTTACGTGCTAATCTATTTACTTCTAGTCTAGGACCCTTACTTTTTTCAACGGACTTGATCTCTGCTCAACTCGGTAAATGCATTTGATGCTGAAACCCTAAACCTTCGCTTGATGCCTCTTTGTCTGTACCCTGTCCCTGGAGGTCGTTCTATGCCGTCTCTGCTGATTACACCTATAGTGGTTACTCGGGCTGGTCTGAACTCAAGGTATCGCTTGATGATGGGGAGGGGTCGACTTGTTGAAGGCTTTCTTCATAGGGTAGGTGATAAGGCTAAGGGGGTGGCTGTGTTGGGGTTTTTGGATAGGTATAGGTTATTGGGTGGTGTAAGGTGGGTGTGGGGGGGAGGGGGGATGGTTAGTGAGTGTATCTGGTGGAGTGTGGACAGTCTCTTGAGGTGGGGTTGGTGAGTGTATCTGGTGGAGTGCTGTCCATTATCTGGTCACTCTGGTGAGAAAAAAAGGATGAGAACCTTAACACCTGGTTGAGGATTGTGCCTACGTACGTTAGGAACAAGGACACGCGAACCGAGAAGGACGTAATTGTGGCTGCATTCTTTCTGAAGGGTTCTGCAGCAAGGTGGCTAGACGGACTGGTACAGGCCGATGGGTACGCCAGGGATTTCAATTCCTGGGCTAAGGCCATGAATCTAGATCAGTTTCTGACGTTGGTAAAGGAGAGGTGGCATGACCGCCAGGAGGCGCAGTGTGCCATTGATGCGCTGAAATACTTGAATCTGAAAAGATACAAGTCTTTGCGCAAGGTCACCAATGTCATAGAGTTACTTATCGTTATCCCAGGGGTCAGGTACGGCGGCTGACTACATACCTTAGGTGTTTACCAACGGATGTAAAAAAATTGTTAGTCAATGCGGCCTCCGTAGAGCACCACGATTTCTCCTCCTTTAGCAGAAAGGCTTTGGACTTGGAAGCCAAACTGGGGAGAAGCTTCCCCAGGCGTGTGAACTATGAGAGTAGGCTTGCCCAAAGGATGAGGAAGGGCTCCTTTGGCCATATTGAAGGGATGAGAACAGGCCGGCCTGGTCACTTTGGGATGAGAAATTGAAGAGTTGAGACTTGTTTCTGATGGTCTACCAATTGGAAGGACATTTTTCATGTACAACAGTACAAGTTCATTTTCAACACTCTCTGGAGATGATCTGTGAAGAGAAAAATCTCTTGCTTGCAATCACGCGTCTCAGTCTGGTCAAGGCTCCGAAGGAGAATCAGACTGAGTAACTGCACTGCACAGATGACTGACAATAAGATGCTGTTTGTGTTGTTGTTTGTTGCCGCTGTGGTGTATGAACTGGTGAACCACTGATTGCGATTCCACCATTGATGGACGGTGATCTGGTCCTGTGGTTCTCATCTACAAGCGACCCTGCATTTCTGGTTTATCTTATGACTTCAAGTGAGCAGTTCAATGAGCTGTCCAAACTGTATCTAGAGGCTAAGGACAATGTCAAGTTTTTGGCCACTTTGGAGCGTCACTTCAAGGCAGGTTCTTCTTCCTCTTTCTAAACTTTGTGGAGGAAATATTGCATTCTCTCCAGCCATCCGTTAAAATTGGAACGATACGGATAAGATTGGCATGACCCCTGCGCAAGGATGACACACATAAATCAAGAAATGGTCCAAATTAAAAAAAAAAAAAAAAAAAAAAAAAAAAGAAGTTAACTCTGCTACGATCCTTTGTATTTCATCTTGCAGAACTCAGACCTGAGACAATTCCATCCATTGCAACCCAAATAGAAGAAGAATGAGTTGAGGAGGGAAGAAGAATGGAGGGGGGGAAGAAGAAGTCTTAGAAGAAGAAGAGTGCATATTGGAACCGATGTCAACTCCCTCCACATCTCGGTGCCATCGTCTCTCCCTCCCTCATCTGCTCCAAGAATCAATGTCCGAATGATTCCACTTACTGCCAGACTTCAAAGAGTTCTCCTTCAGCTCACTCCACTACTCTCCTTTACTTGGCATGACTACTCGCTATGGTGGCACATACTGAACGACCTCGGATGTTTAAAGGACAACACAACTACTCTCACGCCCTCTCCTCTCTTTTATTGCCATGCCTGGCCTCTGAATGAAGTCCATGACCAACTGCTACCCCAGACGGGACCTTCTTTATGCAGCACCAACCAAGAAGATGAAAAATGTGCGTCCACCATAGCCAAAAGGTCTCCTTGTCAGTTCCCACATCCTTCTCTCCTTCAACCTCTGTCCATTGCCATAGCCCGGCTGGAAGGTCTCCTCCCTCTACCTCCATAGCCTAGGGCCACTCCTGACTCTCCCTACTAGTACTCCATAGCCACGGATGTCTTCTCCTTCTCTCTCAAGCCCCGCCTTCACCTCCAGGAGCTCCGCCGACCCCTCCCTCTAGGCTGCTTCAAGAATGAAAAGAGACTTGCTCTACTCCTTTCACTGGATGATATACTTTGGCTGCTGGGCCTTCAGTACCTCCTGGCCAGGCACTTCATGGCTCTGCCCAGCCTCCCTTGCACCAGGCCTACCGGGTGTTCCTGCTTTTGATGGGAAATCATTGCGGACTGATATCTGTCAATAGACCCTGAACCTAGACTTCTGCTGGTCGACATTCAGGAATCAGCTTCGGACATCATCTATAGATATGGAGTGGTTGTAGCTGAAGATCATCCAGCTGTGCGAAGTCACAGGGGGTCGATGTCATGTCCTTCCTCGTAACTTGATACCCCCCCTTTGATTATCAGGGTTCCGTTCGGCGTGGCACTTCCTGTGGGTGGTTAGTGACCCCTATCGTTCCCTCCCCTTCTATCCTCCCTGTTACCAGCGTACGGCAGAGAAAATGCCCCTCCACACACTCATTGTACTTATCAAAGGATGTTCTTTCCCTTGACCCCTCCCTTCAGCCGTAAGAGTCTAAGAGTCTGCTATCCTTTTCATGCTCTCTCCCGGTTGTTGTTGCCCAACCTTTGTGCCAAAACATCGATGGTCTTCCACATCCCATCTTGGTTAAGGTAAGGTGCCTAGTGCCTCCCATCTTATCGCCATTTCAACCTCGCCCGCTTTTGCGCCAGTCCATTGCCCTAACCTGACCCATTAGGTGGGATCCAGGTCTTCACAAGTCGCGTCAACTTTCCTACCCTCCCCTTCTTGTGATTCTGTTGACATCCTCCTGAACCAGCATCCCCCATGATTAAACGTCTCCACTTGTCTCTTCCACATGCACAACCACCCACTTTCATTTGCGATCTGCCTTTGATGCCTTCTTCCCTCGTGGCTGTCTTCCACGTGTCTACACGGTTCCGTCCTTGTGTATGATGCATATGATGACCTGCTTATCCCACTCCTTGCAATCCCTGTTGCCTTTCCACTCGTGTCCGAGTTTGTTACTGATGCCTTCTCTTGTCATGGCTGTCTTCCATGCTGTTCATGTGGCCCTATCCTTGTGTATGATGTATACAATGAGCTGCTAGTCCCCTCCTTGTGACCCCTGTTGCCCTTCCATTCACAGCATGGTATATCTTCGTTTGGGAGACTCCTGTTCCCTCAGGCTTTCATATTTTTCATGCGCAGCAGGCAAGTTGTGGATGCCAGGGTGATGAACATGTGTGGCACTGTCCTTAAACCATGCCGACTGGTCTCTCTTGCTGACCTTCGTCCCGCACACACGTTTATGATGGCTATGCACAGATGTGGCAGTACACAGCTGCTTTCACTTTGCCTCCATTCTTCTGACTTCTCCTACCTTTCCTTGACCCACCACGAGTTTGCTTGGCCAGCCGCATCTGCGATGAAGTGTCTGTGTCGCTGTGCAGAACGCTGAGTCATGGGTGAGTGGACCTGACAGAGTGCATGAGAGTGAGCTGCAGGAGTCGCATGCGGTAACCAGGTTGTCGCATCTCGCTTCCACGCGGATGACAGAAATCAGTTCCTTGGAGAATGTCATGTTGTGACAATGAACAGGGATATTTTCTCGATTGCTTTCATCCATGTCTACAGAAGCACAAACTGTTCAGTTGGCTACAGTTAACAAATCAACAAACATTTTCAAAGGCGCTGGACACTTTTGTCATCTTGCACGAGGTACTCGTACTTATGAACACAGAAAACATAGTCATTCACTTGGCAACCTTGCCGGTAATATGACACGTCATTATGAACATGAAAAATAAAGTCATTCACTCTTGCAGTGACAATGGTTTGAAACTCCGGGACCCCTCTTCCATATACATCAACACCAGCACGATCAGGACGAGGCATAGGACTTTCTGAGTTCAAAACTCAAGTTGTCACTTAACTGTTGGCCACAAGTTTTCAGTCCTTTGACCCCTGTATTCTTGTTTTGGAAATGCTGTGCAGAACATTTCATCGGGCTCACTAGCAAGCATATATGACACACTACCTCAGATGATGAATGCTCTGCGAATGGTGTGGATAATCTCTAGGCATTACAGTGACGATGTGCGGATGGGATCACTCATGGAGCGGATAGCAAACGAGGTAAGATTTAGCCTATTTTCACAAAGAATTCCCCTATGTTATGAGAAGAATTACTCACCACTAGCTTACCTGTTGCGGTTCCTGTGACGGGGCTGAGGCAGAGCAGCGAGGTCGGGGAAGAGAGAGGGAGTGAGTGAGAGCACACACACACACACACTCAACTCGACAAGGACTCGACACGACTCGATGGACACGGACACAAAGTGGCAAAGTAGCAAAGTCGCAAAGTCGCAATCTTGGTTCCGTTCACAATGTCGCAGCAAGTCATACTGAAGCACAAGCACTGAGGCTGAAGACTGCGTCCCCGAACTCAGCTTGAGTCCGGTCTTAAGTACCGGACTTGAGTTGAGTCCGAGGGCAAAAGTGCAATTTGCCTCGGGGCTGAACTGAAAATCGAAGGTCTGAGCCTGGGCGCCAGAATGCCGGAGGGCGCCAAGTACGAAATCCGAAAGTGGCAGAGGCGGGATTTGAGAACGGGCGCCAACTGCAGAGGGCGCCAACAGTCAGGAACCGGAGATCAGAAACTCCAAAAAAAATAGAATAGCAGCCTGGCGGGTGGTACCCAGCGGACCAGGGATCGAGCCCTGGCTTGGTCCGTAACACTATCCCCTCCCTCTGTAAGGCAACGTCCCGTCTGCCAAAGACCCAATGAACAGTTGTGAAGGATGGGACGGGGCCAATCATTGGTCAGAAAAGGAAAAGGGGAGTAATGCAAGTAGCAGGGTAATCCTATAGGGGTCCTACAGGGATGAGGGAATCAATGTTCAAGTAGCAGGGTAATCCTATTGAGGTTCTACAGGGATGAGGGAATCAATGTTCAAGTAGCAGGGTAATCCTATTGAGGTTCTACATGGATGAGGGAATCAATGTTAAAGTAACAGGGTAATCCTAGTGAGGTTCTACAAGTAACAGGGAGGTCCTATTGGTGTTCAACAAGGTTGTAGGTTGTCGGGGTTGGGTAAGGAAAAAAAAAAAAAAAAAGTTTGTTCAATGCTCAAGTGCTGGATTGTCTGAGGGGTCTGGGAAAACAACGTTTCGGGTCTGTAACGAAGTGTCAAAAGCAAAGAAATGTCTTGAGGAAGGTCTTGGAAGGTGTTGCAGAAGTGGCGGTGAGGAAACAGTCTTCAGCAGTTCTGTGATGTAGACGGCGAGGACTTCAGCTTGATTGTCTCAGTAGCAGGTTGCGTCCGGTACACGATCTGATGATGAGGTCTGATCCGAATTGCAGGTCGCAGACTGATCTTGATGTCCATGTCAGAGGTGCTGCTCCAGAAGTCTGTGAGTCCAAGGTGTCGGCCAAAGGGAACAGCATGGTGGCCAGCCAGCTGTCTTATCTCCTCGTACTGAGCTGCAGCATGCCATCGTCCTCGTGCGCTTGCCATTAGATCCATTATCGCCGGTGATGCGCAGGGGCCACAAAGAGAATTTGGACAAGAGAGACAAGGATGTGACGGAGGACAGATGGGAGAACGGGCAAGGCGGAGGCAAGGGCGGATCAGACAGGGGGGGGGTTCAAGAGGCAAGGGCTTCGCTGGGTACAGGGGTGTGTGTAGAGAAGGAATGCGGGGTTTTGGCGGGGTCAAGGCGGGGTTTATGCAAGGGTTTAGGGTTTGAGTTATATTATGTATCTACTATCTAGGATATAGGGTGAGCACGGTCATAGGCGCGAACAAGTTTCATAGCATTCTTAAGGTTAGGAAGAGGTTCCCATGTGGACTCTTCGTCAGGGTATCCAGTCCATTTAACTTTGTATTCTGTGATTGGTTCCGGATGGTCTGATACTTGTGTGGTTCGTCGACCTGTGATGGATTCTACTACGAATTATGGGCCTGTGGGAAGCATGATGGAGGTCTGGGGTAAGGGCGGTTAGCGAATTGGGGTGGGGATTCATGGTATTCTTTTAAGTATTCTACGTGAAGACAGGGTGGACACGACTCATGCCAGGGGGGAGTTGGAGCTTGTAATTGACGGGGGAGGTTTGTTCAATGATGGGGAAGGGACCGAGCCATTTGTTCGAGAGTTTCTTGGACAAGCCGTGTTTGGGTTCAAAGCGTTTGGTGGAGAGCCAGACTTTGTCCCCTTTTTTGAATGAGACGTCACGTCTGTGTTTGTTAGTCTTGTTGGCTTGTTGTTCTTGTGTTCTTTCAAGGGCTTCGGTAGCTTCTCTGAGGAGTCTGTTCATTGTTGCTACCCATTCATTGAGAGAAGGGCAGGGGGTGGAGGGGTTGAGTTGCGAGGGGAGCAGGAAGTCGGAGGGCAAGCTCGGATGATAGCCAAGGTCGAGGTAGAATGGAAACATGTCAGTGGAAGGACAAACAACATTGTTGTAGGAAAACTCGGCGGCGGTGAGCAACTGATCCCAATCGTGTTGATGTGGGCGACAATACTTTCGCAGGATTCTTTGGAGAGTATTGTTCATCTTCTCAGCTTGTCCATCGGTCTATGGGTGGAATGTAGTGTTATACTTGAGCGTGGTTTCGTAGGCTTTAAAGAGGTGTTTCCAGAATTGTGAAAGGAAGCGAGGGTCACGGTTGCTGATGATGTTCTCGGGGAGACCGTGGTGGCGTGCGACATGGTCGAAGAAGAGAATGGCGACGTCCTTGGCGTTGTGCGATGTGGTGCAAGGGATGAAGTGGGCGCGTTTAGTCAAGCAACAAACAATGACATAGATGCAATCATGTTCGCGATCGGTCTTGGGGAGACCGCAAACGAAGTCCATGGAAATGGACTGCCACCGGTGGGTGGGGATCGACAATGATTGTAGCTTGCCGGGCTTGGCGCGGTTTGGGGGGTTGACGGCTTGACATGTGGGGCATGAGCGAATGAAGGCTTTGACGTCGACGAGTAGGGAAGGCTAGTAGAAGTAACGAGAGATGGTGTCGAAGGTTTTTTGGAACCCGAGGTGTCCCACAGTCTTGGCATCGTGATGCTCGGCCAAGAGCTGGGTACGGAGGCCACGTGCGTCGGGAATGCAAAGTCGGCGAGTGCCTTTGGTGTCAATATAAAGAAGTTGGTCGTGAAGGGAGTAGTCGGGGACTGAGTCGAGATCACGAAGTTTGTTGTAGATTGTTGAGAAATTCGGGCAAGAGAGGTAGCCTTGGGTGTAGCGGTGGTGGAGCGATGGTAGGAGTTGGATATGAGTCATGGCGGCATAGACTTTCTCGGAGGGCTTGTGGTCGGGGCGTCGAGAGAGGGCATCGGCAACGCGGTTGCTTTTGTCGTGGGTGTGGCAAATGGTAAATGTGAATTGGGCAAGAAAGTCTAACCAACGGGCTTGGCGCGGCGTGGTCTTTTTTAGTGAGGATGGAGGAGACAATGGTGTTGTCCGTGCGGATGGTGAAGTATTGCCCGTCGAGGTACGAGTGCCAGACTTTGAGGGCGTGGATCACGACGAGGAGTTCCTTCTCGTTGGAGGGTAGTTCATCTCCGGGGGAAGGAACCCCTTGCTAGCGAAGGCGATGGGGTACTCGTCGGGTGGAGCCTCGAGGTGGGTGGGGAAATCTTTGATGGAGGGGGTTTCAGAGGTGTCGCGGGGGAAGTGTTGGGATAGGACGGCTCCAAGAGTGAATTCGGATGCGTCAGTGGTAACGTAGAAATGTCGAGAGGGGTCGGCGATCTTGAGGACGGGGGCCGTGGTGATGGTTTGTTTGAGGAGGTCGAAGGCGTTTTGGCGGCAGTCGTTCCAAGTGAAGGGGGTATCCTTGCGGGTGAGTTCGTGGAGGGGGTACGAGATGTCGGAGAAGTTACGGATAAAAGGGCGGAAGTAGTTGGCAAGGCCGAGAAATGAGCGAAGTTGGAGTAGGGTCTTGGGTGGTGGATACTCGATGAGGCGGTGACCTTTGAGGGGTCCATGCGTATACCTTCAGCGGAGATGATGTGGCCAAGGTATTCAACGCTTGAAGCGACAAAGGTGCATTTGCTGAGCTTGGCGTATAATTTTTGCTCTCAGAGGATAGAGAGGACTTGGCGGAGATGTTGAAGGTGGGACTCGAAGGTGGGGCTATAGACAAGGATATCATCGAGGTAAATGACGACACAGACTTTGAGGAGGTCACGGAAGATGTGGTTCATGGTGGATTGGAATGTGGCGGGGGTGTTGGTGAGCCCGAAGGGCATCACGAGGAACTCGTAATGCCCAAAGCGAGAACGAAATGCGGTCTTGTGGGTGTCCTCCTAGCGGATGCGGATCTGGTGGAAGCCACTGCGGAGGTCAATTTTGGTAAAATATTTGGCTCCACGGAGACGATCAAGAAGCTCGGAGATCCGTGGTAGGGGGTACTTGTTCTTGATCGTGATCCGATTCTAGGCGCGGTAGTCTGTGCACATTCGGAATTTCGATGTTCCGCCTTTCTTGACGAAAAGGCAGCTTGTGCCGAAGGGGGGTGAACTTGGCTTAATAAATCCTTTTTCAAGGAGTTCATTGAATTGCCACTTCATTTCTTCGGCTTCTGGAACAGAGAGTTGGTACGGATGGCGGCAAGATGGAGAGTGATCGGGCTCCAAATCGATGGTGTGTGATACGCCACGATCCAAAGGTAATCCGGCGGGCAAGAACTCGGGGAAGACGTCCTTGAACTCGTTGAGGATGGAGGTGAGGGCGGGGTCGGAGGGGGGGGCTTGGTCGGGTTTGTCAGTTGGGAGCAAGTCCTCCGGACGCTCGCGATCAAGGACAAGGCAATAGTAGGTGGAGTCAGGGTACGTACGGGCCATGTGAAGGAATTGGTGTGCGGTGACGGACCTTGGGGAGGGGGGATAGGGGAGATAGGGAATGTCGATGGTTGTATCAGGGGGGTTGATAAGGCGGATGAAGTTGGGGTGGAACGAGTATGGCATGTAGCGGTTCAGCCACGGTGTTCCTAAAACGATGTCGCACATTAAGTGCATGACATCGAATGAGACCTGACTGCGGAGGGTTTCGACAGTCATGGTGGTCTCGGGAACCGTGCGGTCTACTATGACGACGGTGTCTTTGTCCCCCAAACGAATCGTAATCGGGGAGT